CTAGATAGATTGGGCGCGTTATACAAATATGTTAGATGTGAGGATTATATATTCATTTGTTTCTTGCCGCTAATTTTTTCTGTGTACCACAGCCAAACTTTATAACAAGTATGATTGGCCTTAACATGGATAGGCGCCACAGAAAAACATTCTTTCTAAATTTCACAAACAGTTCAGATATAAATTCTGTCTCTGTCACTTAGATTGATTAAATGCGAAACATATGCGATATCACAGTATTTGCTAATCATTTATGTACCTCGGTTAATTTTGCGCACCCAGAAAATTTTTGCTGTAGTTGCAATACCACTTTTTTGAGTGTACGCGATTCAGGCCCCGTCGAGTTGATTTCAGGAGGATTTCGACGGGAAAGATTTCTTCTACGACGACGCATTGTTATCGTGAGTTTGGTCCGCGGAACGAGATCCTACGGTCACTGGCTAACGAGTTCGCGCGGCTGCCAATTAACTTAGGCAATCGCGTCTAATGGTGGCCCTGTTACCATCTCTCTCTCTCTTTCTCGCCACGCGTCCACACGTGCGTAAGCGTGCATAGTCTGTATCGACCAGTGGTAGGCTCCAGCAACGGTGAACACCTACGCGTATACAATGCCCACGTGAAACCGTCGCCTGCATTCGTATTTGTAGCTGGAGAAATGCTTTTTGTGCCGCTGTGGTGACCGTCGCGCTCGCACGCGAGCAACCGCGACTCTCTCTCTCTCTCTCTCTCTTTTCCCCTTTTCTTTGTCAGTCTCTTTCTCTCTCTCTCTCTCTCTTTAGCTCTCTTCCGTGCGACCGTGACGGCTAACGAACCCTGGACGCGCGCGTATCGTATCGAGCGGTGGCGTGTATAGTCAGGGACGTACGTAGGTACCGTTCGAATTGGAATCTCGATATTCGAGTGTCCGGTGTGACAAGGACGATAATCAACGAATTATGTGGACGATTGAAAAAAATTAAAAATTTTCAAAAATCGAACTGAGACAATCGTTGAAATCAATCTTGTTACAGTGAACAATTTTCATAGAGCCTGTTTTAGATGCTGGGAAATTCCAATTCGACGTCTTAAGATTTTTAGCGATAAAGTTAAAACTAAACGTTTCATCGACGTTAATGAGAGTACGCACTCGAGATGCTCTCGAGATATCATATCTAGATATAATTCCGATTTAAAGAACTATTTGCAAATCTTCGACAGTTATTAGCTATTCGTAAGCGTTTGACATATGTGAATTATTAAGCATAAAGTTAAAGAATAAATAATAGTTTCGATATAATATTAGTTATCAACAAATTAAATTAATGTAAATAAAAAATAAATTCATAAAAATACGAAATAAAAATTAATTAATCAATTAAAAGTATTACTTTTGATGGACTTATTTTAATTAACGATCATAATGCTCAAACTTTATATATTAAGACATTTCTGGCGTCGAATATATTAAGCGTGTTGCTTAGCGCTAGCTTCCGGTTAAATCAACGGATCTTCCGTCTATCTCATACGTATTAGAACTATAGTTTGGCAAGAGGCAATGCTGCGTTAAGCTCCTTAACCCGCACTGTAGCTTCCTCAATACGTTCATCCGGCGCGAATTCCAAGTCAATTAAAATCCTACACATGAAATAATTAGTTAATATACTTAAAAAGCTATCTTTCACGAAAATCTAAATTTCATGGAATGAAGAGTATATATATATCATATTATATCGCAATGAACACGTTTTAGCCTACACCGGTGTTTATGCAATCGACTCCGAGAACGCCGATTAATCCGATCTCGTTCGCCGGAAGGCGAGTCTCTTCCGCTTTCTGTTAACATAACGGCGCACACCTAAATACCGTCCCACACGTGCGGTCTTTTATTCGCGATGCATGAATGAGTAGGGCGCGTGTAAATGCACAAATACACGCGCACGAATGCATCGATACCGGGCAATCCCGGGGTTACGCCAAGGGAGCGAACGGCCGGTCTCGGTAGAGGCGGCGGCGGCTGCCGCGGCAGACGGTTTCATCGATTGGCATTGCTGGCATCGCGCCCGGAGGAAAACGGGGGGGTTTATGCGAAACCTCCGCGGAGGTTCTCTCTATCTGTATGCGCTGCGCATCGCGCCGATCCCGTCCCGCTTTTTCATGGTCATGGGTAAGAGGGCGGTTTCCCTTCAACGAGGAGAACAACGAATGTCATGTCCGCGCGATTCGCGATCAGATGAAAATGACATATCGATATTATAATTTACTTGCGTTTCTCTGCCTAGAGCCTCTTCACGTTTGGAGGGATTTTTTAGATGTTTTTTTTTTTATTTTTTTTGTGTTTATAATACTTGCAATTTTTTTCACGAAAATAGATAAAAAATGATCAAGATATTTTTTAATCCAAATTAGCTTATCTCGGCGTATAATTTGCTTTTTATAATAATTCAATATGATTACAGGGAAAAAAAATAAGAGCCTTCAGAGGCGAATGGACAGGGTATACATTCATCAAGTAACATCACTGTCGCGGGAATCAGAAATGGTCTTGAGATCTGGGAGACGCTAATCGTGAGCGAGCGAGCGAGCTGGATAAAACGCGAGTAAAACATAATTTGCGGGCATGAAAGAGCGCGTGCGATTCGCGACGACCGAGTTGCGCTTATACAGAAGCCCCTCGTTTGCCTTGAAACGAACGCTCACGTTCGGGACATGATAAAATGCAAATGCAATCGCTCGACGACAATTCTCCCTTGGGAAAACGCGAAAAGTCGCGCGGAAAATCACGTCGTGATTGAAGCCAACATGAGAGCCGCGCAATTTCCACTCGTAAATTTTTTCCCTTGGAATTAAAAGGAATATGAGATATTAAACGTAATCATAGTTACAATAGCAGTAAATAAGATAAATGTGAAATGTAAAAATATATATTGACTGGCTTTTTATTTATTTATTTAAAAAAAAAAAAATCGAATGATGTGAAATCTTTGCCGAAGAGAAAATTTGAGTATAGGTTGCAAAGTTCTACTGCTAGGAGAATTTCTTCCACGATTGTTTTTGACGGCTACTCTTTAATCATGACGGCATCCTTGCCTTTTCATGCAATTAGTACCGGCATTTTAAATGTCAGAGCGTTTAATAGCGAGTATTGATAATCTTAAGATAAAAATCGTAATCTTCGATATTAAAACAACGATATTTAATACATCCATCATTATCAGTAAAACTGCAAGACTAAAATAAAATCGACATAATTAATTTTTACTTCATTCTTTCGAAGGGCAATATGTGAGCGATATGCGGGAAATGAGCACTAGATCGACGACGACAAGCGAAAGACGTTATATTGTATATGCCTGTTCCACGCGCGCCGTATGCATCTGTCAAAACCACGCCCTTCTCCCCATCATCCTGTCGTCTCGCACTGCATATGAAGGAAGAACGAGGAAGTTCCCTGATAGCTTTTTCACGATCAAAGCGATATCGTGTGAGTATCAAGTGATCGGTTAGATTTAATTATTATTATCAATTTACATGACTAACCAGGCGTGCTAGAAATTAAGCTATTGTATCTTGAGAAGAATCTCTTGGAAAATATAGGAATGTAAAATACGATGAGAAAAAAAAAAAAAAAAATAATAATAATAATAGTAATAAAAAAGAAAAGAATAATGAGATGCGTTTGAATTAAGCGAATTTATACGAACAACGTCGATGGACATTTTTTTTTTTAAGTAAAGTAAATATAAATTTATTTTACATTTGACATTTAAATAAATGTGTGTCTTATCTCGATCGTTCCAAATCGCTCCGATCGAAAATGCTACAAGTTTGTGTAAACAGAATTCGCTCATTAATTCGATCAATTCACATTTATTAATCTTTTCGATCCTCATGTATATGCATAAGTGCAATGAGATTCAATAAAACATACATAAAATATCAATAATAAACGCGTACATTAAAGTCCTTATCGGTGAGTGCGATAAGAATTTCAATTTGTCTGGTATGTAAGAGTTCTCTTGCTCTACATTTCACTGTAATTTTGGAAGCACATGGTAACGAAAATATCATACATGGTAATAAGATAACCGCATCAATAAACTGTTGAATAATTCATTCCCGTTTCGTCCGAGTCTCCGTCATATTCCGCGTAGAACATCATTATCTCGCGACATGATCGCGCGATTATCGAGATGAGAAATCAAGTGCACGTCGTTTCCGTCCTGTGTGAAAGACAGAGAGAGAAGGAGAAAGAGAGACGCCTTTCGACCACACCCCTGAGTTCATTTTCGATCGCGTCGAAAGGCCAATCGATATCTCGGGACGCCGGCCGTGTAATTTTTTTGGAGTACGCAATTATTGGCACGATTAAAATCCATTTCATTGTCGCCTTTCCATTATCATCTCAAAAGCAGAGATCTGTCTAACGATCGAGTACAATTTTCCCATGCCCCAAACACACCAAAGAATGGAACTTGAGATTGCGAATAAACATATGATTCAATTCCGGTTCGGTGTTTATAATGGTGAGACGCGAAATCGGCGATAATTACAACGATCTCTGGGGTAATCTTCTATTATGGATATACATTACATGTAAATTACACGCGAGTAGAGTGTGGCGAATTCGTGATAGCTTCATTCCGATTCGCAAATTCGAAATTCCAATTATCACCGGTAAGAAAAGAGCCATGCAACACGTCCTGCCCCATCGACGTTCAACGGCGACCGATGCCGATCCTAACTTCTCTCCTCAATCTCGTGAATTAACACACGAAAGACAGAACGGAAGGCAAAGAAGGAGCCACTCCGTTGTATCTTTTAAGAAGGCTGAGTGACTAACGTTTCCCGAAGAACACTGGGGAATCCGGGAGATGTCTTTAAAGGACTTTTTAAAATGTTTTGTTTTTAATTATTTACGTGAATCTTTGACCGGCTCGACGTTAATCCGCCATTGGACGTATTGTTGCTGTGGGAAAACGGCGATGTAACGCGGCGATAGCCGCCGAGAGGGGTGCACTGACCTGTCAGTTGAGGCGAGCAAGTTACTAAAGCGCAGGCAGGCAGGCAGGCAGGCGCGGAACACTGTCGAGCAGCAGGCGAGGAAGTTGTTCAAGGGCAAGAACGAGACGGTACACTGACTGGCCAGTTAGTGCTTCTGCGGCATGTAACACCAGGTAACAGCGTCGAGCAGTGCCCGTCGTTCATCCCTCTCCATCCGCAGCGCATCCCCTCTCAGGACGACAGGCCCTCTTCGCCAGGATCGGCGCAACGAGGGGCTTCTCGGGATGCATTTGTGTCTCGTTTTTCATGGCAGGAATTCGCTGAAACAATTAGATTATTAGTAATTTAATAATGCAATTAATTGTAATAATGTAGCAGTGCTATATAAGAGAAAATCTTTTTGGACTTATTCGTATATTTTTAATTTTATTACAAAAATAAAAATTAAATGAGTTAAAGAAAGAATATAATAAAATGAGTTAAAAAAAGAATATAATAAAATTGATTTCTTAATTGACTGTATACGATGAAAGAGCGCGATGTGCCACAAATAGCGAACAGAATATTTAACCAGATAATTAACAAATTTAATATTTATCATAATATCAATTATGCATAGCAACACGTACATATGACGTCTTGCAGGGTCTCGCGAGTGCGAGCGATGTTCCTGAACGGAGCCCCCACCGCTCTCGAATGAGAACCAATCGACGTCTGGCTTCTACTTCCCCAATCTCGCCGATTAATCGCGTTCCCTCTTCCTTCGCATCCGATCGTCTCTCTGACCGTCATTCGGAGGGGTGGCTGACTCACCCTCGGCGACGACTGGGAATTCACGCATAGCCGGCGTCGCGTCGGCGAATTTGACATTGAACGACGGCGTGGCTTTTTCTCGGCGACGATCTTTTTGCGTCGTTCTATCGTCTCTCCCTCTCGTTCCCCAGCTGGGGACAGCTCGCCTCGCGGAGGCAATCTATTCCCAACGCGATGGCGAGAGGGGGAAGAGC